AAAAAAAAAAGAAACAGAAGATATTTAAAAATACATTTTGCAAAGCACAAAACATAGCCTGGGTCAGTGGTGGTTTCTAACTTGTCCAAAAGGGAAATAATGACCACAGGAAAGGTGGAGTCCCTTGGGGAAATGGAAGCCACCTTAGCCACCATGAATCGCTCTGGTCACTTGGTTAGTTTTTTTCTGGGGACTCCTGGGTAGTCTTCTGACAGTATGCGGAAAATCTATTAATCAAGACCCATAGCCACAGGGGCTGCTGGGTCCAGGCCTCTACTATATCAAGCCACAGCCATTTCTTCTCCCTAGTTAACACTGTCCTGGGGATGGATCAGATTTCCTCTGACGTCATCAAAGGTAGCCTCAAGAAAAGCCTCACATTCTCCTGATGATTCTGGTTTTGAAGCAATAATATTGGCAGCTGTCAGGGTGGCGTTATGGCTTTCCAGTGTCCTTACCTCATGGTGGCAGGAGGGAGGGACTTACCTGTTGAGATAGACTCGCTTCTCAGTGAACTGCCCATTGCCATGGTGAGGGTCCTCAAAGGGCTCGTTCTGCACGACCTCCACCCCTTCTCCCCGGTCACTCTGCTCGTGACTGTGTTTGCTGATCATATACAGCTGTCCGATTTTGTACTGCAAAGCAAACAGAGAAACGGAGACAGAGTCAGCCCCAGCTTGCCTCTGATGAATCCCCACACTGCCCTCCAACAACAGGATGCACAGCAACTAGTCACATCTGCACCTTCTGCTGAGAAAAGCCATCAGTCATTTGGGTCTGAGGTGACTGTCCTTGGAGCTTGGCAGAGAATTGGCTGTGAGCAGAATGCAGAAGCGGGTGTTCCTGTGAATAATATAAGCAGCCATACCAAGCGCTCCCTGGGGCTCTGGCAGTCTTGAAGGCCCATGCTGAGGGTGCAGAAGCTGGGAACTAGAGTCTGCCCTGCTTTCCATTCTGGTCATACAGGGTTAAAGGGGGTAGGTGTTCTATTTGGCTTGGCCAAGGGCAGCCTAGGGTGTGTTATTTCTGTCCTGGCTTTCTAGCTAATTGGCAGCATTTCTGGGCACAGGGATTAACTGTCACTTGCATCTTCTCCTGCCTAGAAGAACAGTTCTCACAGGTGGCTAGACAGGATCCTGAGAAAGGTTGGTTTTGTCACACCCACTCCAACTTGGTCTTGCTATTTTTGAGACAGATCTTATGAAGCTCAAGCTGGCCTCACACTCACCATGTAGCCAGGGGCGACACTGAAGTTCTGCTCCTGCCTCCGTGAACTCCCAGGTCCTAAGATTACAGACGAGCACCATCAAGCCTGTTTTATTCAATGCTGGGGACTGAACCCAGGGCTTCATTCATGCTAAACAAGAATTATTGTTTTTGATTCTCTCTCTCTCTCTCTCTCTCTCTCTCTCTCTCTAAAGCCCACACTGGTCTGAAACTCTTGTCAATCCTGCCTCAGCCATTCACTCACATGAGCCACTAATGCTAAGTCCCCTAGATGCTTAAAACACTCCAAATATCCACATCCCACAGCTAAGATCCTGAGTTCTAGAAGCCTGTGCCACACTGAGGAACATCTTTGGTATGTCTGTATCATTTTCACCCAAATGTACTAACAGTGTGGGGCCTCCGGAGTCCAGAAGCCACATGTCAACGCTATGATCGTATCATGGAGCAATCCAGGACTGAACTGTCTTCTTTCCTATCTTCACCCCCAAGTTGTCCACCTCTCTCTCCTGCCTCTCTCAAAACTCCAGGTCTGAACCTGTGAGGCGGCAGCGGCTCAGTTCAGCAGATAAAGCACTTGCCACAAAGCCTGACGACCTGAAACCCACGTGGCAAAAGGAGAGAATGGACTGGTGCAGGCTGTTCTCTGGCCTCTACACATGTGCTCTGGCACTTACACCCCACACAGAACCCAAAAAAATTAGTACATTAAAAAAATGCAAAAGAAGAAGAAGAAGAAGAAGAAGAAGGAGAAGGAGAAGGAGAAGGAGGAGAAGGAGGAGAAGGAGAAGGAGAAGGAGAAGAAGCAACAATAACAACTCATAATAACCAAACAAAACAAAACAAAACCCAACCCAAAGTCAGCAGGTATTTTTCCCTGGTCGACTTCCAAAGTGGCAAGATGAATTGGATACCATACTCTGTGTGTGAGGGGGGATGGGGCAGGAGGAGAGGGGTATAACTTTTGTATGAGGGACATTTCTGCTTGGGTCAGGATTCTGCTTGGTCATCTTTACACACTCAGTATGAACCAGCACACAAAGTCACCACCTCCAAGGCCTGAATTTTGGGCAAGCTAATGAGGCCCAAAATTCCTAAAAGGGTCCTGGCTAGCAGAGATGCAGAGCCCCTGTCTGTGTGCCGAAGATTAAAGAATCTATGCTAACTTTAGAGGCAACTGAAATGTTCAAGTCAGCGTCGTGGTTGGTTCCAGAGCTGAGAGATCTCTTGTTGCAAGGTCCCTCTTTCATGCTGAGGCAGAGAGTCTGCAGCCAGCTCAAGGGACCAGGCCCAGTAACCATGACAACGAATCAGGCTGTTGGCTGGATCTTCTCCAAGGGTTATGCTTCCTATCTGGCCACAGTACTGTCCAGAACGAGTCTGTGTTTAAAATGCTTTTAATGTGTGTTTGTGAACTTGGGAGGGAAGGCGTAAAGATAAGAACTGGGAGCGCACAAAGGAGGCCGGGAGCGAGATCCATTTTAAAAAATGAATCAGAGACTCAGAGGCTTGACCTGGCTTCCCCTCGGCCCACTATGGCTTTTACTTTTGGTTCCCCAAAACTAACAAGGACGTCCTTCAAGGGTGAGGAAGCTACACCTGTGAGATCAATGGTCTACTTTACACAAGCTGAGAGAGGTGCAGATGCCAACGGCAACTGTTGGTACTTGGTGCTTAAAAACCCGATGAGCGCAGACAGTGAAATATTACGCAGCCACAAAAAGGAAAGAAATGTCAATGGTGAAGCCGCTTAATGTATATTATGGGTTGAAGAGTTTCCCCCTCCTGGAGTTCAAAGCTTGAAATCTCTTGGTGGGATCATATTTTAAAAGATGCCATTAGGATAGGCTTTCATCCAGTGTGACTGGTGTCCGTACACAAAAGAGAAATTAGGGAAGAGACAAAGGGATATCGAAAGATTGTTTGAGGAGGGGGTGGCCTCAATAAGCCATAGATGGGGCCTGGGGAGACGCGCCCACACCAGAACTTCCGAAAAGGAATGCTCTGCTCATGTTCCGATTTTGGTTCTGACCTCCAGGCTCAGGGGACGGTGAGTGGCTCCGGTTGCCTCCCCAGTGCGGCCGCTCTGTCAGGCACGTCTAAGGAAGCAGCACAGGGCCTGGGCCTTCTGTCACACGGCGCTTGCGCACAAGCATCAAGTCCCGGGTGCAGACCCCAGCAACCCCGAAAAGGCTGAGCATGGTGGCACGCACCTGGACTCCCCAAGTCGGGAGGTAGAGACGGCCGATCCCTGGTGCCTGCTGGCCAGCAGGTGAAGGTGCTTGCCACACAGGCCGGGCTTCCTGGGTTCCAACCCTGGAGCCAGTGTAAGTGGGGAAGGAAAAGCGACTCCATAAAGCTGTCCTTTCACCTCCACATGCATGCCATGGCACAAGCACACACAACAACAACAACAATAATAATTTTTTTTTTTTTTTTTTTTTTTTGGTTTTTCGAGACAGGGTTTCTCTGTGTAGCTTTGCGCCTTTCCTGGGACTCACTTGGTAGCCCAGGCTGGCCTCGAACTCACAGAGATCCGCCTGGCTCTGCCTCCCGAGTGCTGGGATTAAAGGCGTGCGCCACCACCGCCCGGCAGTAATTTTAAAATAAATAATCTAGAGAGATTGAGGGAGATACTTGATGTTGACCTCTAACTGACTTCAAACACAAACACACATACACACACACACACACACACACACACACCACACCATACCACACACACACACACCACACACAGACCATACCACACCATACCACATACACACACACACCACACCACACACACCACACACATACATACACACCACACCATACACACACATACATACCACACCACACACACACCACATCACATACACACACATGCACACACCACACACACACACCATAACACACCATACCACATACACACACACCACACCACACCACACACACACCACATACACACACACTACACACCACACCACACAAATACCACATACACACACATACACACCACACACACACACCACATACACACCACATACACACACACACCACACCACACACACACATACACCCTAGTACAATCGGTCCAAAGTAATGAAACGTTCTGGGTAGATGTGCTAGATACACCTTAGGAAAACACTAGATGCTGCTGGACTGTTCCCTCTAAAGGAATCATTTGGGAGGTAAGAGTGGAACTTGGCCACAATCCTAGCGCACCCAAGGCCCTGACCTGATCTTTAGCATTGGGGGTGGAGGTCAGCTCACAATCCCCAACTCCTAGGATCTACAGTTCGTTAGTGGTTGCTAGGGGAAGGAAGAGATGTTTTCTACAATGTAAATAACCCCTAACTTACCCTCCTGTAAGCAGCCCAAATGAAGCCTGGACTACCAAAAGCTGGGGGGTGGGGGACATGGACATGAAGATAGAAGGGGAACTGGGGAGGGGGGAGGAAGAGAGGATCACAGGAGATAATTATGATCAAAATGCATTACGCATATGCAAGAAGATGCCATGTTATATAAAATCAATACACATTTATAAAAATGTTTAAACGGTTAATTTCATGTCCTGTGGGTTTTACCTCAAGTTTTAAAAGAAGTGCCGGGTCTGACATCACCACCATTCAAAGTCCTGCCAAGGTCTCTCACTGGAAAGCTACGAGAAGAGCTGCATCTACCCGCACACTGTCTCTAGGAGCTCTGACCCACTCACGTAGAAAAAAAATGTAGGGTGCCAAGGTCGATGTGTGACACAGAAAAGCCATTAGCCAGACGCGAGTCAGCCTGACTGGGCACAGCTCAAGTGCTTCCTGCTTCAAGAAGATGGATCCGGGCAAGGCAGGGGCAGCTGATTCACAACAGCCAGCGGGGACCAGCTGCCTGGCTTTATTGATCATTCCAGTGGCTCCTCAGGGGCCAGCCCAGGGCAGACACCCTCATGGGCCAGCCCAGGGCAGACACCAGCCTGAGCTCACGATGACTGTGCCAGTCTGGGAGTTGGGGGATACCCTGCAGGTGCTGGGGGTGGCAGGACACTCAAGCTCAGATTCAGATGGACAAGGGCTCCATGTCTGTCCCTTCCTTCCCTCCAAGGAAGAGTAAGCCTGGTCTGCGGGCATGGTCACCAGAGAGGGCCACCCAGAAGTAGTCTGTTACCATTTTATTATCCAATTCTGCTTTTGACTCTCAGACATGAGCAGCAGTGTCTCAGTTGTAGGAAGGGGACAGATAGTGCTTGAACCATGTAAGAAGGCCACATCCAGGGGCGGGAGAGATGATGGCTCAGCAGTTAAGAACATTTTCCAGAGGTTCAGTTCCCAGCACTCACATCTGGCAGTTCACAAACACTTATAACTCCAGCTCCAAGGGACCTAACACACTCTTCTGGCCTGCACGGGCACCTGCCTGTCTGTGCAGA